ACCAGGTGCCAGGTACTGTACTCAGTGAAAACCCCCTCAAAAGTGAACCGTACCGAGCCGTACCATGCAGTGGAAAAGCGCCATAAGTGAAATGTTATAGTTACTTTTACCTTTTTCACACAGAAGAGAGACTGGGGCAAGCTGTCACAAGGGAGGTATAGCCCTTGTGACAACTTGCCCCATCTACCTTATATATGAAAGAGGCCAAAGTAGCCATAACATTTAGAGTCACATTTAGAGTGGCAGCATGTCCAGTGCATTTTCATCTTTAAACAAAGATGACCTTAGTAATGTTACTCAGTCAGTAATGTCACTCAGTCACCCTATTTTATTTGCAATATCCTTTTGCATCCTTCTGTAGTGCTGTGCATGTGACACAGTTTCCTGCTCGCTCATGCCTAAACCCCACTAGAGTAACTGCCAACAAACTCATTTCCATGCGTTTTTTTAGGACTACAAATTTATTTGAAGGTTATGGGGGAAATGTACTTACAATGAAATGTAGTTGCTAATCTTTTATTTTCACTGTAAACAATGACAAAGCGCAGCACAGACAGCATCTGGCTACACTGGATTTGCGGGTGGTTAGTGAATAAAATATGGTTTTGCTCTGAAATGCCACAAACAAAAGTGGTGTGACTGTTGAAGTTTAAACCTACGATGATGAACATCTTTACTATGTCTTCTGTGGCTTGACAATGTGTTTCTGTGCTACTCTGTTTCTCTTCTGACACAGTCAAGATGACTTAAGCTGCATGAGATGAATCTGGATTCTGGAATCTTCCACTTTTGAACTGAAGTGGGTCAGCTGGAAAGCATGAAACTTTGCAAATGTCATCATCTGATTATCTGCGATCGTGTGGTCTCGTGTTTACGGTGAAAAGCAGTTGTGCAACTGTTATCAGTTTGCAAGCCAACTTTCAATTTCTCTCACAAGAGCATAAAGCATCGCTTAAAAAGTAATTAAACACTTTCCCAATGAGAATAAGAAATGCATTTCAAGGTCAAAAGCGTTCTGAGATTTTGTTGCTTAGTTTAAAAAGTTGTGCAACACACAAAAAGCTGTGTTATTACTATCAAAACAGTGCAGAAATTTCTAAAACAATTTTGTGATTACTTTATTATTTAGTAGAAAAATACCTCCTGGATTATTGCTGTTTTTGTCGTTTCAAATCCTAAACTACTATCAGAAGAATAACACATAGGCTACCTTTGACATTTTTGTTGTTTCATGATTCATTTTGTGCTTTGTTATTTATTTATTTAAATTATAAAAACATTTTTTCCTGAGTACTCAAAGTATTGAATGGAAAAAGATCTTCTGGATTATTGTCATTTTCGTACAGCATAGGAGGTTGGAATTTTTTTTTTAGAGGAAAAGAAAAAAACTGTTCTTTCTGCCACTAAAACATTGTATTGTTCAGATCCACAAAAGCCTGTCACAGAAATACGATACAATACCATCAAACCCCAGGAGGACAAGGAGTAGCGAAATAAAAAATGGCATTAAATGTTGCTGTATGAAATTGGTCAGGGATTGAATTTTAATAGAGCACAACCACACATAACTTCCTCTCGGAGCTTTGATGGGATCTCTGTGTCATATGTCTTCAGTATCTGACGATACCTCTTGATCCATGGATTGAAAACCTAGTTTTAGGGACGTAAACCTAGTTTTAAGGATTTTTTGGGAGCAGAAATTCCATGAGCTTTAGAAATCACTGTAAATTAAAAAAGTAGTACAACAAGAAAAGGTTATTTTATATAAATATGAGAATTGCTGCACACAAAACAATTACGTTTGAGTGCATTCTCAATACTAATCCAAGACAAAGACTGTAGAGTGGAAAACATATCAAGGACAGTCCTCTTGTAGCATAATCCCTGTAGAAGACAAACTACACAGATATACATTACATCTGAAAAATTCTCCAGCATTCTAACATTGAGTTTGTGTGTTACATGGTGTATCTGTGCCTCTGGGGATGCAGCCATATGGACACACAGTGTTGCACTTTAATTAAGGTCATAAAGAGATGCTCGATTATCTAAAAGAAAAGTAACTGCTTAATGGACTTTTGAATAGATAAGCTTTGGCTTATTTAAAACGAGATTAACAGCAATGGCTTGTAAACAATATCTTATATAAGTTTAGTTATGGCGCATCAATTTTCCTGCATCTAAACTATTTATCTTTGACCTTGGTATTTAACCTGCAACAAGTCCTTTTTTTTTTTTTTTTTTATCTTTTTCAGAAAAAAAAAAATCTAAACAGCCTTAAAACAACATAAATTAACCTTAGAAGTAAAATTGCATGAGATAATACGACTTGTTTTCAGAGAACATTTCTTAAATATTAGGTATTTTTCACTTGTTTTAAGCATTTATTTGCTTGTTAGTATATCTAACAGCCATTTTGTGCCGTACATACAAAGTTTAAACTTTATGAGACCGTTTATAGGTTTTATAGCTGTAAAAGTCCATTAGGAGGTCAATGTTGAAAGTACTTTTAAAACATTTTTGCATGCATTTTCAAATATTTAAGGAAAATAATTAAAATTTTAGCTGGGCAAAAAAGCATATAGGTTTTTATTTGTCTGCAAGCCACCAGTTTTAAGCTCCACAGCAAGAAATTGAGTAGCTCGTGCACTGATGAGTCTTTTTGTGAGAGCCCTTTGGGCGAAACACCTGAATCACCACAGAGACCTTGTCTAGAATAGCCCTGACCCAGTTCTGACCGCTCCTTTAAAACATTGTGTTATGTCTCTTTTTAATATATTTGAGAGACTCATTTAAATTGTAATTTAATTTGAAACTGTAAGAGTGAACAGCACAAGCAGAACACAGAGAGGTTGTTGCGAAGCGAAGATCAATAAACCAAATGTAATAAGAATAGAAATTTCACACTTTTAACCCTAATGGCTAAAAAAAATTAAGAAAGAAAAAATAAATTAATTTGTGGTTACCTTAGATTGCACATACAATTCAGATTTTTTTGTGGCTTATTTCTCAGTGAATATTTCTCAGAAAAAAAAGTTTATAATTTGTAGACACATACCTTAAAGTCTTTGCTGCCAAAAAATAATGAAATATTTCGACCGCTAGTGCCCAGGAAAAAAAAAAAGATTCACTGAACGCATGTTGACCTTCTGTGACAACATGCCCCAATAACTGTGGATGTGGTAATGGGTTATGTTGTCACAACTTATCCCGACATTAAACAGCCAATTTTATGCTTTTTAAAAAGTAAGCAATTACAAAGCACAAAATGATTCGAAAAATGTAAAAGTTAGCCTATGTGCTATTCTTCTGATAGTCACTGGTTTTGACATAATTTCTAGCTAGACCAGGCTGGTCAAGATTTCAATGATAGATCAGCTGGTAGTCTAGCAGGGCTAAGATCAACCAGGCAAACCACTTTATACCAATAATGAACCAGCTATCATATTCCAAAACCAGCTACTGTAAACTGATATAAGCTGACTTTCATGATCTTTGTTCAATGTTTTTCAATTGCATCAAACACATTTGAAATGTAACTCATATATTTTTGTAATTCATAAATTGAACAAAACTATAAATATAACATAAATACGTGACAACTTGACGTGACCTTTGTGAAAAACACTGAAAACAGAGTTCAACCGAACCCCTTAGTTTAAATCTACATTCATTATACAGTTGATACCTGAAACATGCTAGCATGGTTTTAGTGTGTTAACTTATTTACCTAACAGCTATGGCTACAATATAATAGTTTGGAGGACACCATTCAAAGACATTGCAACGTTTTGAACTAGGTTTGAAACCAATATAAAAAACCAAAAGTAGAGAAAACTCGCATTTGTTGTGTTTGGACTTCTCACTCAGATTTCATATTTACTGAAACACGGCCCTTATGACAACACATCGCCCCTATTGACAGTTGAAAGCCGCACACCTGAGGCTGAGTAACTCAAAAGTACCGGCGCAGGTAGGGTCGTTACTTACCGCGTGCGCGTGCCAAACTAAGAGAAAAGTCAAACAGTTGTTCACGAGGTTCATCTTCATTTCTTGCTGGTTTCATAAATAATATCTCTCTTGATCGTAAGTTCCGAGCAGTCCTCAGCATCAAGAGCGAGAAGTCATCCTTCAAGTCAGAAGAAAACAAACCACTTGCGCCGAGATGTCCGGTGAAAACACTTCTGAGCGCGCAAAACCCATGTGCTGTGTGCAGGAGGGCTGAGCGCGAGCTCTCGCTGAGGGGAGGCTGTTGATTCTGTTCCTCCTCCTTTAGATCATCAGATGAGCCTTATGCACACATCTTACACTGCCAGCACTTGGACAGATGTTTAACTGGCATTCATTTCAAACACTTTGAGTGTTTATCTGATTTGGGGTCACTCAAATTGGGGTGATTTTGATGATTATGGGCTAAATAGGGCTGGTTGTTACACTTTTTTACTCCAGTAAATATTTCTCAGAGTAGATTTAGTTTGAAAGTCGGTCTCTGTATAGACACATACTCTAAAAATCATTGGCTACACAAAAGCGATTGAACATTTCCACAGCCCAGGACAAAACATGTTGTCAAAAGACCTTTAGACAACATGCCCCTATTTAGTTAGTCCCAATCGAACCTGCCTTTAAACAGCCTATAATGGCTTTTCAGCAACATTTAAACAGTAAAACAATCGTGAATAAAATAAATCATGAAACAGCAAAATGTACAAAAATATTGAAAACTTTTTTTTTTTTTTGGCCAATACATATTGTATTTAATGAATTTATACCAAAACACGTGATGACTTGCCTCAACTTGACTTCTATGAAAAATAACGTGTGCTGGCACAAGGACAGAATTCATTAAAATATTCTCATTTAAAAGCAACATACAAAATCACTCTTACACAAACAACATTTTGATATCTTTTACTTGTTTGGTTGGGTGGCTGTGAAAAAGCACAGTTCATCTGGAGAGAAGAGCAATCAGTTAACAAGCATGAAAATGAGTGTGAAAATAAGCGTGAAGTCTTATTTGGATTCTAAAATATATCTTTTCACTTTATTATTTATTAGTTTGGACTCCAAACTATTGTGCATCAAGTGATTTGCTGATTAGTTCAGCATTAACTTGAGAAAATAAGCTAACTTCTCCCTTCTTAAAGATGAAGTCTTGTGGGTGAACCTGTGAATATTTTTGCTTTCATATAAATGTCAAACCACAAGTTATGTAGTTCACAGATGTGATAAACTTGAAAGAGTGACTGACCAACAAAAACATTTATGTGTGTAAAGGTAGAGGAGACATATTCCTTTTTTTAATGTATTTTTGTGCTTGTCAGGTTTTGCTATTTAACTTTTTAAACTACAGTACACTGAAAAAATTGGTGAAGAATTGGCTTTGGCAATTATTTATTTTCTTTGTAATTACTTTGGCAAATTACAAAGCAGCAGCAAGTACACTAAATTAAATGTGAAACTTTGAAGTACTGTAGAAAAACTGAAACTGCATTTTCTTGTAAAACATTCTCTAATCATTTTTGTATTATTACTTGAAAAATCATTTTACAGTGTATGAATTGAACACTGATTCATTTGGACCTGAATTACTTGGAACAGCTATATCTGTATTTGAAAGATCTGCCCAATAAATGACACCCAAGATGCCGCCAGTGTGTGTACCGGGTCAGTTGAGCTAAACAGCAGCTTAATAAATCGTAACTTTCTCAGCACTGAAGTGCAGTTCCAGGAAATCACCTCATTCATAAGCATTGTATTTATTCTTGGTCAGGTAATGTGACTCTATGAACATCATGTGATGGAGTTTGGAGACAGATGTGGAAATATGTAAATCAGAGAGCAGCCATTGTCTCTTTGAGCTGATGGGAGAAGAGTGTATCAAACAGAAACATGGTAATATATGAAAAAGATCTGTCTCGAGTGTTATTATTATAAAGTACAGCTCATGTATACTCTTAAATGCTCTTTAAAATAAAGGTTCCAAAGGGGGTTTTCACAGCGATGCCATAGGAGAACCATTTTTGGTGCCCTAAAGAACCCTTCATTGAACACTAACAGTTCTTAAAAGAACCATCTTTTTCTTAGTGTGAAGAACATTTTAAAAATCTAAAGAACATTTTTTCATTATAAGGAACCTTTTGTGGAATGTAAAATTTCCATTGACTGTTAAAGGTTCTTCGTGGAACCTTATGACAATAAAGAACCTTTATTTTCAAGAGTGTATTTGAGGATAATGTTCAAAAATGAATGCAATACAGTGTGAGAATTTGCTTATTAGTGACTTTGTAGTTATTCTGGAGATGACTGGCTGGGCTTTGACATGCCAGTGACCTCTTCTGGTTGTCCTAGGGCTAATGTGTCACATGATAAGTCATCCTACCATATAATGAGTTTTGGATGAAACCATCCCAAATGTGATGTTAGAGAACGCATTTTATTCAAATGTAAACCAGACGTTGCCAGACAGATGAGAACACAATTTAATCTGCGTATTTTGAGGTCTGTCAAACTACACAGGATGTCTGAATTAATGCATTTTCATAAAATATGAGTAGCAAGTTTTATTTTGAATCAAGCCGGATGATCATAGACAGTGTGGAAAGATGAACAGAAGACATTACTCTCTCAAATCCAGACCATCTGCACTGGAACATTTCACAAAGGAAAATACTGACATGTAGTTGATCATCATTTATGGCTTTTTATTTTGGTGTATGCTTTTACGTTCCCAAAAATGCACCTTGCGTCAGATGCGCATATTAAAACCCAGACAGGATTTCTCCTTCTATGGAGATCCAATGGTGTATCATTTCCCAAAAAGTCTGAGAAGGAAAAATGAACAGAGAGTGCACTGAATAGAGTCTAGATTAAGACCTGCACTGATAGTTCCCACAGATAGTGGACTGATCCAGGACATGTCATTATGAAGAAATTCTGCTCAGACAGGAATCTGAAACATGATATTTCACTGCTAGTCTCAGTCTGGGATATTTCATAGGTTGTGGGGAAAAAAGGAAAAAAAAATTCATGAATATTCTGTTCTAAAACTTTTGCTGAGAACAAAATAGTCCATTACAACGTATGAAACAATCTGCATTGCAACAAAGATCAACACTGTTGCTACAATATTACAGAACTATTAATGTTAAAACATAAAGATGTCTGGCTGCAGGTAACTTATGCATTAAGCTTAAAGGAATAGTTTATCCAAAAATGAAATTTTGCTGAAAACTCACCATCAGGCCATCCATGTTATAGATGAGTTTGTTTCTTCATCAGAACTGATTTGGAGAAATTTAGCATTACATCACTTGCTCACCACTGAATCCTCTGCAGTGAATGGGTGCCGTCAGAATGAGAGTCCAAACAGCTGATAAAAACATCACAATAATCCACAAGTAGTCCACACAACTCCAGTCCATCAATTATAACCTTGTGAAGTGAAAAGCTGTGCGTCTATAATACTGCTTTCTGAATCAGGAAAGAAATCTGCACAGATCAAGTTTCTAAGATCATTTCAGATCGTTTCTAAGTGAAAACAGTCCAAAACATTTCTGTGTGTTATTATTGATTATGGACTGGTATTTTGGCCAGAAGTGGCAGTTTAAAGTTAAAATGACTTGGATTACTTTCTTACAAACATGCAGCTTTTCAAGACATTAATTGATGGCCTGGAGTCGTGTGGACTACTTGTGGATTTTTGTGATGTTCTTATCAGTTGTTTGGACTCTCATTCTGACGGCACCCATTCACTGCTGAGGATCCATTGGATGCAAGTGATGCAATGCTAAATTTTTTCAAATCAGTTTCAATGAAAAAACAAACTCATCTACATCTTGGATGGCTTTAGGGTGAGTACTTTTTTTTTTTTTTTAGCAAATTTTCATTTTTGGTTGAACTATTTCTTTAAGCTTTACAGAAGCATCAACAATAAAAAAAAAGGTCTTTGCTTAAGAAAATACAACTGTAGTGATGTATGGATCAGAATTATTACGTGTCTTCTTAGTGTTCTCATTCCTGGCAAATTCTTTCTTTAAAAAAAGGACCTATTACGCAGACTCTGCCAGAGTAACAGAAATAATGACAAACATTTTGTCTAACGTTGAGATGTGTTTAGACTATTCATTACTTTGTTGTGATATTAAAGAGGGGGGAATGTAAGCACATAAAGATCCAAATAAATTGGGCCATGCAAACCTTTACAGAGAACTGTGAATATTTGGGTTCCCAGCATTTCAGGCCTCATAATGGTAAAACAGCTGAATACTTTCCATTTCTATTAAACTACCTATGAATATGAGTTCAGATCTCTGACACAGCAGCAGGGACTTTTACATGGCTAATTTAAGTTATGTTAAGTTAAGTCAGACTATGCCATCACTGCCCAAGACATCTTCTCATCCTGTTATGACATACCTTTGTAAATACCAGAATTGTTCATGTCGGGCAATGCATTATTAGTGTACATTGTCAGTAAAACCTCAAAGAGAAAAATAACACAGTTATACTTTCACTAACAACTTGGAAAAGGCGATGACGTAAAGAAACAGTATTTGTTATGTACAGTATATTCATCTTTGTTTATAGGTTGCAGACATGTTGGTGTCAGTCTATGTGTGTTCATTTAGCACCATCTGCTGGAGCTTCTTCTTAAGGTCAACGAGAATTATTTTGGGAAAATCTGTTTTTCCCATTCACTCCAATCCAAAGAAATGACAGGTCTTATAATATGTTTTAATGTTAATATGTTTTGGGACCTGTAAAAACAATGCAATTACAGAGATGTTTTTAGTAGCATTACTTATTATTGCCCATAACAACTCATACAACATTTCATATGTAAGAGAGTAAAGAAATAAATCTATTAAGGCACATGTATGCATAGGCTACACATACATTTCACTGTGAAAACTATTTTGATCATGATCGTTTTTCAATAATCAATAAATAAAGACACTTTCATCTCTCTATTTCAAAACGGTCATATTTGCATATTTGAGGGGGGAAAAGTCGAATAGTTTGCATCACTGGATACAGCTGTCGGTCATTTAACATTTCTACCATAAAACAGTTGACTAATATTAAATGATTTGCCTTTTGCTAAACCCTACTTTGATTTGATTGGCCATCTAAATTATTTTGACATTGACGAGCGTTGTTAGCCACGCGCATCTGTAGACTAGCGCAGGTTAATGCTCGCACTTTAATAGTATTTATAGATCCAAACAGGCTGCGTGACTATGAGAAATGA